ATGTTATAAATAAAACAGTAATAAAGGGATGAAATAGTTATAATAACCAGATTTATAGCCTGCAATTGGTTCTATTGACATGGGGATTTTTGTATTAAGTATGCTAGGCATCTCAATTGTTCATGCATGCCAGGTTCATCGTTATGATGAATGAATATAGACTACCTATATTCTGTAATCCTATGTTGATACCTAAAAGATGTTATCAAATCTAGTTATTGAATGCTGTTCTATTAAAGTAGTGTGGTGGTAGTTACAATTAATTTATTTTGCTTAGAGGTGTAGCAGTTTATATTTTGAAGTTTGTAACTTCTTTTTATTTCAGCAACTGTTATGTATAAGTTTCTTTTCTTTAGAAACTAGTTATGTCTGTCTGCTGCTGTTTTTGCTGATATTTCAGAACGCTGTTCATGTATTTCATCATTTCTCAAGTTCAATCCTTGAGTTTATGTTCATTTTGCACTTAAGGTTTCATCTTTACGTCAAAATGACATGAGTTATAGTTAAATGATATTCAATGGTCAGTGATGATTATTATTAACACTTATGATCAATGAGGTATAAGATCTTATTGAAAGCATTGAAACATTGTCGTATACAACCTGTGTTGCATTGTTTTCTATGAGACTGTGCTCTTAAATTGGCTAAATATAAATTCAATTTCAGTTTAACCTAGAATGTTGTAAACCCCATTAGCCAATGATCTCCTTAGGAAAAACATAAAACTAGAAAATAAAATTCATAAGTTTATATAAAAGATGGCTGACAGGAAAAAAAAAATGAAAAAAGAAGGAAAAGGAAAGAGTGATAGGGTAAATCATAAAGCCTAACCGTGATTTCGAGATAGTGGACAAAAGCAATGTGAGAAAAGGCCCTGCAGTAATGGTTATTTATGTTAAATTCTGGAAAAATCTTTCTGAAATTGACATCACATCACCAAGTTAACACAGTCCAACCAGAAACTAAGTTAGGGAATGTCTTTTGTTGTCCTCTAGCAATGGAACAGATACAAGTTTCTGAAATTTCACTCGTGCTACAATAATTTTTTTATTTAAAAAAAGAAAAAGAAAGAGAAAAACAAGGTCCTTAAACTTTTTTTTACCAACAAAGCACCCAGACTTCTAATCTGACAAAAGTAGACCCAAAAAATTATTTTAATCCAAAAATACATTTTCACCCTTAAATTATTAATTAAAAGTACCAATTACGCCAACATTTTTTGCTGACAAAAAAATGAATAACTAAATGTGACTTCAAATAAAAAACATAACTGAAAAAATTATACTTTCCCGTGGCAAAGGGATATATCAATCTTGGGTGTTCCACATACTCCTAAGTTTGGTAGTATAATTTTTCTTTTTTTTTAATACATGGCATGCAAATATATACAAACACCATACAATCAAAATTTTGGCAGACTTATTCACCAACAGAAAAAACTTGACAGACTCACCCTTCAAGAATCCAACAACGACGTCTTCGAAAATTTTCATTCTCTCGCCCACGGGCATAGTAGCAATTCAAATTACCAGCGCTTCCGGCCTGAAAGGAATTATGTTTGTTCAAAATAATAGATTGGAAGCACAGAAAAGAGATGTCCTCAAAAATGTACTCCCAATCAGAATTCAACAGAATAACCAACAGATGAAGTATTAGAATATAGCTGCTTTGCTTATATGTTTCAATCGGTTCCAAAGTAGAATCTGCTGTTTTTAACACATAAAACAAAATCCAGCATCTTTGGCTCTTACCTTGAGCTTCTGATGGGCTTCCTTCTTCTTCCAATTATGTCCATCGTTTCCAAAGCGTTTTTGCACATTCCGATCAAAAAGAAAAAATGAACCACCTGAAAAAAGAAATATATATTACACCAAGATGTGATTGGAAGCAAACTTCAAAATGGCTGCAAGTGTATGTGCAAGTGCAAATCTTGCTTATGAAGGACAAGTAAATTTGTAAGGCCATGTGCATGTCTAATTGTGCTTATTATTCAGAAGTTAATGCATTAAAATTGAGAGACATTTAAGAAAATACACATAACCACCGAAGTTTTCATAATCCATAAGCCACAATTTTGGAGGACAGAATAGGCCTAGTTAACACCAAGTACACATGAAAGGAATTGGATTTATCAACTAAGAGTTCTTGGTAGGCAACAAAAAAGCTAATTAATTTTAAAGGTGAAACAAATGACCCTAAGAGATGCACTGCCACACAAAAGCAAGGTTTAGATTCATGTCAATGCAAATTATAGATGCCATCAGAACAAATAGCATTATCTAGCAAAAGGAATTATGGCTGATGCCAATTTAAGCTGGAGGAATGGTACTTTGTGGCTTATCAGGGGGTTCTGAGGTAATTCCAAATTTCTCATGATTCTGAATAATTTTACATATTTCATCTGGGAGAAACCACCGATGCAGTGCTTCTCTACGTATCTGCTCAGTATCTGCACCATGCCAATTATAAGCCATTAGTATTGCAAATATGAAAGACAATGTAGGGAAGGAATTAATCCTAGAGTATTTCTACATTCATATTAATTTAACACGAAATAGAACCATAAATATAAGCAGCTGATGGTGACTAGTTCACAAGCAAAAACCATTCCTAGCATATAGAGTTGTCAATGCAAGTTATAGATTCCATCAGAGAAATTGTCATTTATCTAGCAAAATGAATTATGCTTATTATGGCAATTAAAATTGGGGGAAGGGCACTTGGTGGCTTATTATGGGGTGCTGAGGTAATGAGGAATTTCTTATGATTCTGAAGAATTTGACATATTTGAGGTCGAGATTCTGTGTTTTTAACCGTATCTGCTCAAAACCTACGCTAAAAATCAATTGTCATCAGTAACCTATGTTAAAATCAATTGTCATCTGTAAATTATGTTAAATTTTCATTGAAATTAATGTCTTGAAAAGTCAAAAAGGTCAAATTAAGACAACTAATATTGAACAGAGATAGTAACATATTCTGATTTTTTTTGAACTGAAATCTCCCCTATTGAAAATCAATGCAATTATGAACATTTCTTAAATAGAAAACTATAATTAAGCTCATTTCATAGCCCCTAATTAGTCCTGTCTAAAATCATTTTTTAAATAAAGCTCATCCACAATATATCCAATGTACAGATGCGTTCAAAAAGTATCTAAAAACATTCTAGGAAGCATTGAAAATGGTAAAATGAAGAAGAAACGAAAATAGAACCCCAATA